GCAGAGTCCCCCCCCCAGCAGACTTACCATAGCAGACTTGCTGGCCAGGCTGGTGTTATCAGCCATGCTGCCTGTGGGCTCTCCTCCCTCTGCTCTGTACAGCGGTGAATCAGCTCCTATTAAATAATTCACCCAATTCACAGAGACAAATCTCCAGCCTGTAATCCTTGCAGAGGGTTCCTCTCCCCGGCTTCACATCAGCTCCATATGAGGGGCTCCCACCATCCCTGTGCTGAGTTCCCGGGTCTGTACACCTGCTGTGCAAACTATCCAATCACCTGCAGCATGTTAGGGAATGTGTATGGGCCACTTATAAAAGTTGGAGAAAGATTTGCTCTCCTTTTGACATTCTTTTCCCCGTTACACCATTATCGTCACTGGCATTGTCCCGCGTTCGCGGTGTTACGGCGCCAGGACGCTGTGATGAACGGTACAAAAATGGTAAAAGGTGTTCAGATTAATGGACCGGAAGAGAAGATTGTAAGGCGGCAGAACAGGACAATGTCGCCCCCCGGAGGACAAATCCGGAAAATCTGGAATTACAAAGTAAGAGTCGAAATTTCTGGATGTAGAACCAAAACGGACGACATTTCGTCTTCTCTGTGCGCAGAAACAAAAATAAAATGCTGTTTTTATCTTTTTTCATCATCTAAGTCCTGCTGATCCCCTCCGGCTCCGTACGCCACTTCCTGTCTGCATGCGCTACACATAGAGCCAAAAATCCGAACCTCCGACGCGGAAACAAGGCTGAGTGACCCAACCGTGCAGAAAAACACAGCAAGTGGGGTGCAGGAAAATGGCGGCAGGTGCTCTGGACTGATCAGTGACAGTGTGAAATATTTGGCTGTAGCAGGAGGCAGTTTGTTCGGGGGAAGGGCTGGAGAGCGGTACAATGATGAGTGTCTGCACCAACTGTGAAGCACGGTGGAGGATCCCTAGAGGGGAGTCACCCCAAATTTTGATTGGATAAAGATTTCTCTTCTCTTCATTTATTTATAAAAATAAACTATTATCACTTCTATTTCTGAAACATTCTCACCTTACAGCATGACAGCAAACCTGCCGAAAATGTCTGCGCGGTGCTGTATGTTGCAGGTTCTGCCCTTTGCCTATCCCTTGGTCTGGCTATGATTCCAGCGATGGCTGCATGCCATTTCTCAGGGCGGGTTTCCTGATGGTGACAACAGTGGACTATGTCTGTGTGTTGAAACGGCCACTTGTAGTCACTATCAGGAGCCAATGTGACAGGGTGACAACGCAGTGGTACAATTAGGATACAGGGACAGAGCATTGTCACTCTATAACAGGAAGTGCCTGAACAAGGACAGAGCGCTGTCACTCTATATGTGGTCAGTCTTAGTGTTTGAAGAGATACATTGTATCCAACATTTAACATTGTCTCTCTGACAGTAGAAATAGGTCCGGGGCGGGGGAGGGGTTTCTCTTAAAGGGGCTTAGTCGTAGCGTTATTCCCGCCGGCAGCCTCATATTCTGTTATATCCTGCTACCAATCTGTAATCTGAGCGCCGTCTCCTCCGATCAATCCTCTCCTGCCACTCACACGGCTCAGACCAGGATAACGATTTGTGTCCCCGATGGAGAGTGACGGCCGGCACTTGGAGAAAAGTCACATTACGGGGAAAACGCATCTGAGACTGTACAACATGACCGGTGACCCTTCCGATGAGACGGTACAACATGTCCGGTAGCCCCTCCTATGAGGCGGTACAACATGACCGGTGACCCTTCCGATGAGACGGTACAACATGACCGGTGACCCTTCCGATGAGACGGTACAACATGACCGGTGACCCTTCCGATGAGACGGTACAACATGACCGGTGACCCTTCCGATGAGACGGTACAACATGACCGGTGACCCTTCCGATGAGACGGTACAACATGACCGGTGACCCTTCCGATGAGACGGTACAACATGACCGGTGACCCTTCCGATGAGACGGTACAACATGACCGGTGACCCTTCCGATGAGACGGTACAACATGACCGGTGACCCTTCCGATGAGACGGTACAACATGACCGGTGACCCTTCCGATGAGACGGTACAACATGACCGGTGACCCTTCCGATGAGACGGTACAACATGACCGGTGACCCTTCCGATGAGACGGTACAACATGACCGGTGACCCTTCCGATGAGACGGTACAACATGACCGGTGACCCTTCCGATGAGACGGTACAACATGACCGGTGACCCTTCCGATGAGACGGTACAACATGACCGGTGACCCTTCCGATGAGACGGTACAACATGACCGGTGACCCTTCCGATGAGACGGTACAACATGACCGGTGACCCTTCCGATGAGACGGTACAACATGACCGGTGACCCTTCCGATGAGACGGTACAACATGACCGGTGACCCTTCCGATGAGACGGTACAACATGACCGGTGACCCTTCCGATGAGACGGTACAACATGACCGGTGACCCTTCCGATGAGACGGTACAACATGACCGGTGACCCTTCCGATGAGACGGTACAACATGACCGGTGACCCTTCCGATGAGACGGTACAACATGACCGGTGACCCTTCCGATGAGACGGTACAACATGACCGGTGACCCTTCCGATGAGACGGTACAACATGACCGGTGACCCTTCCGATGAGACGGTACAACATGACCGGTGACCCTTCCGATGAGACGGTACAACATGACCGGTGACCCTTCCGATGAGACGGTACAACATGACCGGTGACCCTTCCGATGAGACGGTACAACATGACCGGTGACCCTTCCGATGAGACGGTACAACATGACCGGTGACCCTTCCGATGAGACGGTACAACATGACCGGTGACCCTTCCGATGAGACGGTACAACATGACCGGTGACCCTTCCGATGAGACGGTACAACATGACCGGTGACCCTTCCGATGAGACGGTACAACATGACCGGTGACCCTTCCGATGAGACGGTACAACATGACCGGTGACCCTTCCGATGAGACGGTACAACATGACCGGTGACCCTTCCGATGAGACGGTACAACATGACCGGTGACCCTTCCGATGAGACGGTACAACATGACCGGTGACCCTTCCGATGAGACGGTACAACATGACCGGTGACCCTTCCGATGAGACGGTACAACATGACCGGTGACCCTTCCGATGAGACGGTACAACATGACCGGTGACCCTTCCGATGAGACGGTACAACATGACCGGTGACCCTTCCGATGAGACGGTACAACATGACCGGTGACCCTTCCGATGAGACGGTACAACATGACCGGTGACCCTTCCGATGAGACGGTACAACATGACCGGTGACCCTTCCGATGAGACGGTACAACATGACCGGTGACCCTTCCGATGAGACGGTACAACATGACCGGTGACCCTTCCGATGAGACGGTACAACATGACCGGTGACCCTTCCGATGAGACGGTACAACATGACCGGTGACCCTTCCGATGAGACGGTACAACATGACCGGTGACCCTTCCGATGAGACGGTACAACATGACCGGTGACCCTTCCGATGAGACGGTACAACATGACCGGTGACCCTTCCGATGAGACGGTACAACATGACCGGTGACCCTTCCGATGAGACGGTACAACATGACCGGTGACCCTTCCGATGAGACGGTACAACATGACCGGTGACCCTTCCGATGAGACGGTACAACATGACCGGTGACCCTTCCGATGAGACGGTACAACATGACCGGTGACCCTTCCGATGAGACGGTACAACATGACCGGTGACCCTTCCGATGAGACGGTACAACATGACCGGTGACCCTTCCGATGAGACGGTACAACATGACCGGTGACCCTTCCGATGAGACGGTACAACATGACCGGTGACCCTTCCGATGAGACGGTACAACATGACCGGTGACCCTTCCGATGAGACGGTACAACATGACCGGTGACCCTTCCGATGAGACGGTACAACATGACCGGTGACCCTTCCGATGAGACGGTACAACATGACCGGTGACCCTTCCGATGAGACGGTACAACATGACCGGTGACCCTTCCGATGAGACGGTACAACATGACCGGTGACCCTTCCGATGAGACGGTACAACATGACCGGTGACCCTTCCGATGAGACGGTACAACATGACCGGTGACCCTTCCGATGAGACGGTACAACATGACCGGTGACCCTTCCGATGAGACGGTACAACATGACCGGTGACCCTTCCGATGAGACGGTACAACATGACCGGTGACCCTTCCGATGAGACGGTACAACATGACCGGTGACCCTTCCGATGAGACGGTACAACATGACCGGTGACCCTTCCGATGAGACGGTACAACATGACCGGTGACCCTTCCGATGAGACGGTACAACATGACCGGTGACCCTTCCGATGAGACGGTACAACATGACCGGTGACCCTTCCGATGAGACGGTACAACATGACCGGTGACCCTTCCGATGAGACGGTACAACATGACCGGTGACCCTTCCGATGAGACGGTACAACATGACCGGTGACCCTTCCGATGAGACGGTACAACATGACCGGTGACCCTTCCGATGAGACGGTACAACATGACCGGTGACCCTTCCGATGAGACGGTACAACATGACCGGTGACCCTTCCGATGAGACGGTACAACATGACCGGTGACCCTTCCGATGAGACGGTACAACATGACCGGTGACCCTTCCGATGAGACGGTACAACATGACCGGTGACCCCTCCGATGAGACGGTACAACATGACCGGTGACCCCTCCCATGAGACGGTACAATATGACCGGTGACCCCTTCGATGAGACTGTACAATATGACCGGTGACCCCTTCGATGAGACGGCACAACATGACCGGTGACCCTTCCGATGAGACGGTACAACATGGCCGGTGACCCTTCCGATGAGACGGTACAATATGACCGGTGCCTTGATGGAACAAATCCCATGATGCATCTGGTGACCCTTCCGATTAGACGGTACAACATGAACGGTGACCCCTCCGATGAGACGGTACAATATGACCGGTGACCCTTCCGATGAGACGGTACAACATGGCCGGTGACCCTTCCGATGAGACGGTACAATAT